GGGGAGGACAGTTTCATTCGTGCGCCCTCCTCATTAGAGGTTCTGTTGTCCAGATCTTGGTTCACACCTTGGATCCTCCTTTGACCGACACCATGTACAGATCGGTTCTAGGGTTTTACTGCAGCCTTGTCTGTCTGAAGGTTGATCCGAGATTCCACCCTCATCTTGGGGTCCAGTGGCCTTTTGGAGAGGATTATCTGAGATAGTTTACTAGATTGTCACCCGCTATTTCAGGGCACACAGCCAGGTTCTACATTCCAGAACATCGTTAGCACCTTCTCTCATAAAGCCTAGAACCAAACACTAGGTACCAGGGTGTAGCTGGCTTTCCCTTCCACCAAACCGGTGCCCACGAGGGGCACATCCTCCTGTGGGAAGCTGGGTGTGGACACTTGATGCTCGGGGGCCTGGGGGGCCCCACGGCTGGTGAGGAAGCTTCCTGCGCACAGCCTGAGACTCCCTCGCCCGTGTTCTTGTCAACGTTATGTCGGTCTCCCCGGGCTTGCCCCGGGCAACCATTGAGGTGGGGGACATCCTCGACTCTGGTTGTCAGGACCCCGCACCCAGGCAGGCGGAGAGCTCGAGCCAGCCAGGCCTCCTGGGGAGATGGCCCGGAAGGAGGCCAGCTGCAGCGGCTGGGTGGTCTCTGCTGCTGCTGGTGTGCACTGGCCAGGCAGTGAGCACAGACCGGCTCTGTCTGTGCTCTGCGTGGCAGTCCACGGGAGGCTCTGCGGTTTCATTGCTCCGTGTTGATGGTGGTGCTGAAGGCTCCATAGAAGTGAAAGCTGCTGGTTTCGCTCACAGGCTTTTTGTAAGCCAGAGGTGTCTGTGGAATTGTAGCACGGCTGGGCCCTGAGCCTCTGACTTCTGGACGTTTTACAGTGAGTAGGTTGGAGTGTCTCCTCTCTCACCAACACTACTTAGCACACTTTACATAGCAGTGTAGCATGATTTAATTGCCCTAAAGTGTTCTCCTAAAGGAGAAATTTTGTTTTTTTGGTCTGGTCATGGGGCCTGAACTCTGGGCCTGGGCGCTGTCCCTCAGCTCTTCAGCTCAAGGCTAG